TACACAGACAGAATCTTCAAGGTGGACAGTTTGATTCTGAATAAACAAAATGCTAACTCACTGTTTCCCAAGTTAGTGGTAGTGTAGAAGCTCCCCACATGGGTGAATCAGTAGAGGGACATAAAGCAGCTACAATTTATCTGCATGTGTTGAGGTGCTGGGAGAAAACAAGAAACAAGTAAATCACAGGCACATGGTTAACACTTCTTGAAACTTTTCTGTTATTGTTAAAAATGTTCAGAATGCATCCAGGGTTAGGCAGTCTTCTGTTCAAATTCTCTCTTTCCTTAGGAGTGCCTCAACAACTGCCAGTAAGAAGCCAATTATTGTGTATCAGCCAGCAGGAGGAGGCAGAATCTTGCTCAAGTGCTCATTGAGAATTAGAGTTGAAACACCCAAGTCGGAAACACTTTAACAAAAAGCCTATTCATGCATCTAAATCAACCAATCTTAGAAAAGGAACATCCATACACTCCAGTTTAATCCATGAAAAAAAGTTATCCATTGTAAAGAACTAGCCTCCATCTTACAAATGAAATGTCACAGGCTACAACAAGAGAGAAAGAAAGAAAAAGACAGAAAGACAGACAGACAGAAAGAAAGAACAAAGAAATTCTGAGTCATTTCATCATTTTGGTTGAACAAAAACATTGCAACTAAAAGAGCAAGACCAGATTCTATAATTATGTTGGCATATAACAATTAAATCTGGCCTAACTCACCTGAAGGTATATTTTTAAACAAAAATACAAACTGTGTGTGTGCACATAGCAGCTTTTAATGGTCAGCATATACTTGGCCAGATGGGCCTGTTAAGTGGGTGTCATTGTTAATCGTTTTGGTGTCGGTGTAACAACAGTCAAGAAGGAACCACAGGGACATAACGCAGAAGTGGGCATTTCTTTCTGTAGAAATCAGCAACATTGAAAAGATTTGTGATTTCCCCCTCACTTACATCACGGGGCAGGTACATCAGGCAGCACGTTTGGCTTTGATGACAGGATATTTGCCGTCGTATGGAGTTAACATGGTGCCAGTTGTAATATCTTTTCCCTGATGTCAGTCACAGCTGTCGCACACTTTATGCATGCCAGGAAAGATGTTGAAACACAGAGAGCCGTGAAGGTCATCAAAAGGACATATTTTTCTATGTCATTCACTCTCGGTGCTGTTTAATAAATGAGTTAAAGAAGCTCGTATTTTTCCTCTGTGCTGTCGTTTAGATCCTGTGTCTTTCTCTTCCCTTTTAAGCTTTGATAAGAACAACACAGCATTCATTTATGATGCTCAAGTCAAGGAAAGATGCATCCTCCCACACTCTACTACTAGTTCCTGCTCTGCTAAGATCTGAGACAAGAACTGCGGCTTAAAATCACCTTTCCTGTAGCACCCTGGCAAGTCAGGGATCATCTGGAATGTGTACACGATCGTTCTTAGAGAAACAAGGAAAACACCCTCCTGCTGTCCCCTACGCACACCCCAGACAACTACCTTGGAAGGTCTCCTGGGATCTCAGCAACAGATCTGTGCCTGAGGCAACTGACACAACATGAAATAAAAGCCTGGTTCTTGGGGATACTTGCAGAAGCTGTTGCTGTGTTCCATGTGGCTACAACATCTGCCTGGGTGAAGGAGCCTGCACTCGCAGACAAGCAGCCCACGTCTGGAGAAAAGGGGGTTCCAATGGAATCTTAAGCAGCTTTCGAACAGCCTGCTGTCCTGCTTGGACTGGGAAATGTCCCCACAGTGTGGGACAGACAGAGAGGGTTAGAGGGATTTTCAGAGCAATTTAATCCCTGGAGCAGGCTGCACCAGCCAGTGATAGACAATTCCAAAAGGTTTATACAGAGCTAGGCATTCATGGGCAATTACCAAGTATTGATGAGAGTATCAATTCCATGAACTCTATCATGTGGAACCATCTGCTGATGGGCTCATTTTAATCGTTTAACAGATCATTTCCTTTGCTTTTAATGAACACGCGAACATTCTCACTCTCATTTTTTTATCACACTCTTATTTCCTTAACCCAGAACTCTCACATACCAACAGTCAGATCACCCACACCGGGCAACCACATCCTGCCCTCTTCCCTTCTCTTGTCACCCTGCTTCTAATGCCTCGTATCAGACTACTGGTCATCTGATGCATTTAGAGGCAGCTCAACTACCTGCATTTTTTTTTTTTTTTAACCAGTACGTGTTGAAACGAGAGAACTCTGTGAGACAGAATTTTCAACCACTCTCCCATGATTGGATGTTTTACAAATAGTTCTTTCAAAAAGCCTTGTTCCATCGGAGCAGGCATTTGCTGACTCACCCAGGGAGCACACAACTTCCAGGAAGTTGGGTTGGCAATAGACACTGGCTGAAAAACCAAGGCCATTGTTTTTCCATTATTCCATTACCAGCTGGCAGAGAGGATGAGTAACGAAAATAGTAATTTCTCCTTTGACATGAAGTCATGGAGACCACTGTGAGACAGCCTGGTGCTGTTACCACCTGGACGTCTCCAGTTATTCCGAACGTCATTTGATCCTGACTCAGGAACCTCAGCTACAAGCCTTTAACCCCTGCTACCTGCTGCATCATAAAGAACTGTTTCTGTGCCAGAACCAGAACATACAGATGTGAAGAGAGCAACCCTAGGATGGAGCTCACTTACTAACGTTCCAGTGGTGAATTCTACTTAGAATTTTCAAAGTCTTTCCTAAAGTCTGATTTTAATTTAAAAAAAATACAAGAAGTAGTGGCCAGTTCCTGAGAGAAATCTGAGGAATGGCTGTTTGATTCATCAGGCTTTTCCTGCCATATTTACTATAGCATTATTACATTATTATATTTCTATCATAACTTTATTACAACAGAGAAGAGACGCTTGATATCTAACATTCATCTGTCTGCATTCAAAATTATTTCTGCAACAATAGGAAAGAAAATTCAGTTCAACAGAAAACCAGACTCTATTTGTTCTGAGCTGGTTGTCTATTCCTCACCTCAGGCATGTTGCTTAAGAACTGTCCTCAGAAATACATTAATCAATGCATTTAATCTCAGATTGACTTTTATTCTTTAGATTTTAGAACTTGAACACTAGTTTGCAATGAGGGCAAGTTCTTTAAGGATGTTTTTTGAAAAGTTGGTTCCACCCAGGCGTTTTCCTTTTAGAATGCTAGCTGACATAAATTCATTTTTGGAAAAGTATAACAGATCAGTCTAGAAGTGTTAGCACCCTATATTTAAATGATTAGGAAACTCTCCAAAGATATTGAAGAAAAAACAAGAAAAGGTGTGTCAAGAACTTTACCTAAAAAGGATTTCTCTTACATATCATATATTTGATTTAAAGTATTTATTTTAAAAGGCACTTAGAATGCAAAGAGAAATTCAGTATAGCATCATGTAAGAGGCCTAAACATTAAAAAAAAAAAAAAAAAAACCAGAATAGCCTTTAGGTGAGCTTGCCATGCTGCTGAAATGGTCTCCAAGGGTCAGAAGAACATGAGGACAAAAATAGTTGATGAAGTATGCTGCATGCATGAGTGACTTTGGCTCTGGCTGTGCCCATGATTCAATGGCCTTTTGGATCATCTCACGCTGGCTCAGGGGTTCATGGAACCAGCAACACACAATCCCTATGTGCTTCCTTCCCCCTCGGCTTAGGACAGAAAACAGTGCTCAGGTTTGCCTTGGGCCAGGTGTCCTCACATACCCTCCACTTACACTGCCTTACTGTCTCCACAGCAATTCCTTGAAGAAGGTACTACAAGTATCACCACCTAGCAGTTGAGGAAACTGAGGCAAAGTTAAATGACTTACTGCGTCGATCTTTGTATTCTCTTTACTTCCAAGTTCTTTTTTTTTTTTTTTTTTGCTTGCTCTGTGAAAATGGATCCAGGCCCTTTGAATGGTCTCCCTTTGTCTTCTAGCAAAGTATTGCCAGTAGGGGGCGCTGGAGAGATGCCACAGGAGGGAAAAAAAAAAAGTGTAGCTTCCTAGATCCTGTGTTCTCTCAGTAGGCTCCAGAGCCATGGCCTTCCTGAGCTGTATTGAAACAGAGGTCCTCAGGAGGCAGCTCTCTGTGCATCCCAGAGGCCCTGTTTCTGGCAAATTCCAGAGGGTGTATTTTTATCCAGTTCCACCAGCATGGCGGCACAGAAAGCTCTCTTGTAATCTGTGGCACTACAACCATTCTTTCTCAGCCAGGATGGGAGCCAACCCTCTTCCTAGGGTTACTACTGCTCCTTATATCTGAGCTCCCTACTTGTCTTCTTTAGAGCTGTCTTTACTTCTCACCAGCTAGTCCCTTGCTATGCCTATACCCTGTATGGTTAATTTTTATGTGTATCAAATTTTCTGATTCAAGTTACTGTGTGGTTTCTCTCTCCTGGGTGGGCCAGACAGATAACTCTGCTTAAGGCCACAGTTCAACAGTAGCAGCCATGATCTGAATCCAGGCAGCTGGGCTCCCAAGTTGCCACACCTAGAGGCACTATTAGACCCCCTCTTGTGAACAGGAGGGCAACAGGGAAGTGAGAGTGAAGCTTCTACTTCTACTGGAGGCAGAGTAGGGAGGGAACAGTGTTAGGTGAGAACACAGAGGCAGTGGTTTTACGTAGTTTGCCAGCGGACATGGGAAGGACAGGTGGTCCAGTCAGAGGGATAGTGTGTGCAGTGGTGAGGGGGACAAGGGAGGTAGCAACTTTAAAAAAGGGACAGAGTTGTCACCGTATACATGCTGCATCCCCAAAACTGGTCTCATTCCTGGGGACACATCAAATGAGATTTGTAGTCTTCAGGACCCCTGCTTCTCTGGCACAGGCTTCCTGAGAGGCAACGTTCTCCACTGGGGCACCCAGAATCACCAGGGCTCTGTGATGGCCAGAGGTGGTGGTAGAGGACAGTAGCACCCAGCCCATGGTAAGCATTTCATATTGAGTGTTATCTATCTATTGCCACTGCTCCACGTAGATCAGAATATGTCACAGACAAACACTTGAATGTTTGAACAATGGCATTTATTTCAATTTTTTTTTGTTGTTGTAAAATCTAGTTCTCAGATCCCCAGATACATATTTATAAATAATGGATACTGTAAGCATTTGGAAGAACAAACATCAGAGTTGGAGCCATTAGGCCATTTTAACAGCATAGCTTCTGGTGGGAGAGGGGTTGGGCTACAGAAAACAATGACATCCCCTACACATTTATTCAGCTAATTCTGCCCTCAAAACTCTCACTGAAATAGAAGCTCTTTTGGCTCAGCCAAGACAGAGCTATGCATGGGGGAGCTACTCTGATTGCTCTGGGTCACAGAGCACAGCCTGCTTGCTCCACAGTCTGCAGCCTATGACCTACTCATCCCCAAAGTGAGCCTCTGGTATTACAGGACACACGTTTTAAGACACAGTGTCTGATGACCCACACTATGGAGTTGCAGAACTGGCAAGTGCTGGGATTGGTTTTAGAAAGTGGTGGATTTTGGTGCCAGAAGTTTGATGAAAAAATATTCCTTGGAGATCCAAGCACACTTGAGTGTATAGGACTTTCTGCTTGGAGACAGTACAAGGGAAAACTCAGAAGTCAAAACATGAATAGGACTAAGACTAGTAGGTTACATGGAGTTGATTTCTGCACAAGATTGTTGACCTATTGCCTTGAGGGTTACTCTTTCTGTTTGTTTGGGTCAGTCATTCAAGAAGTGGTGTTTTCCTTTATGAAAAAAAAAAAAAAATCAAAAGCAAAATAAGTATTTTCATGTCATGAAGATAATGGTAAGTTTAATGGCTTATCCAGTATTTGAAGTCTTCTCAGGTCCAGGTAGTGGTCAGCAGGGCAGCCCGGGGTCAGACTGCATTCCTTTGAAGAAGCTGGTCCAGTAATTGCTGGAGAAGCAGGGAAACAAAGATGTCAAGTTCAAGTTCACATCTGCGTGCCACACGCATCACACCTGCTGGTGTGAAACCATTACCTTTTTGAAGACTTCAGCACGGAGTCTGTTGCTCTGTAAGATCACCCTTTTCTTTTGTTCTTCTTTTTTCTTTTTAACTTCCGGCAAGTTATTATAGATTCTGAAACAGATGCAGAGAACATTTTGAATGGTAGCAGGCTGCGCGTGCCTGCGGTGGAGCGCGTCCTGTCGTGTCAGCAGGCGCCCACATTTCAGAGGAAGAGCACTGCATGTGGGCTCTCTCCACATCGTGAGACGGTGACATGAAGGGCTTCCCTGATGTCCCCAGAACGCAGCTGCATGGCAGGGAATGGCACACATCTCTGTGCTTCCAGTGCCCGTACAACAAGCAAGCTGGAGAGGATAGATATTTACTCAAAACTCATTTTTCCTGTCCCTCTCTTCTCAGTCTAATTACTTATGGTAAACTGAGGGATTCTGAACTAACTGCTTTGCCATTCTGAGTATAAACCTGCCACCAAATTCCTTTATCTTGACACATAATTTTTGCCTTTTTTGTGACTTAGAGGAGTAGTAGCAGATATGGAAGTAGCAGGAATTATCGTGTCAGAACAAAGCACACAGAAATGTGTGTGTTTCCTCTTAACCTATTGCATTTCTAATTAAGCTCTTTCTGGAAACATAGTGGGCATAAGTACTATGTCCTTATCCTGGTGTAAAATTAGGAACTTCCAACTCATAAGCAGGGCCCAAGAGACCTTTCTTCTGGATACTGCTTTCCTCTTTCCAAGTAGAAACTGTTTATATACTGATGCAAACCAGTATTCCCACTAGAAGTCATTGACTTATGTAGGAGACCCCGCAGCCTGAGCCTTTGTGTTGCTACACACATGGTGCTCAGCTAAAAACATCTCCTTTTCATCTTCTCTCGTGTTTGAAAGCCAGACAAAATCTGTTTAAGATGTTCCACCATTAAAATCGTATGTGCAAGGTATAAAAATAATGTGACAATATCAGCAGGTAATGTGTTGATTATCAGACAGCATATCTTTTGATATGAACTCATTTAATCCTCGCAATAGTTAGAAAAGGGACACGGTGTTTCACTGTTAAATGAAGACTTGCTGGAATCCAAGTCCCAGCAAGATCAGGGACTAGGATGAAGTCCCTTAGCTGATGAATGGTGGGCTGACATTTGAACCGCATTGTATTTGATTCTTACTTGCTATGCCACAGTGTCACCCAGCTATATAGCATCAACTCATGAGGTCTGTGTGCTCGATTGTCCTCTGGCACACTGTGCACATCAACATGGGCTGAATGAATACATGAATAGATGCATTCAGGAACATTCTGGAAAGGACCAGGAGATTCTATAAGGGAATCGTAGTAAAGCCAACATGTCCCAAAGCTCCACAGAGGAAAGTCCTTCAAATTAATAGACTTCTCTTCCTGAAACTGGCCATCCAAATCAACAGGAGAGTTTCACATAAGAATTCCTAGGTCCAAGCTCTGTTACTTGGTTTGGTAATTTCTTAACAGAGATCCCCTAATCATTCATGGTACATCCACATAATGGGTCACTCTGTAGACATTGAAACTGATAAGGAAAATAATCTGCATCTTCTGACACAGAAAGAAAAGCTAACAGACAATAAGGAAAAAAAAAAAAAACAGTAGAGGGGCTGGGGATTTAGCTCAGTGGCACAGTCAAAAAAAAAAAAAAAACAGTAGAGGGGCTGGGGATTTAGCTCAGTGGCACAGTACCTGCCTGGCAAGTACGAGGTCGTGAGTTCGATTCCCGGTACCAGAAAACAAACAAACCAAAAAAAAAAAAAGAAGAAAAACAGTAGTAAAAAAGAAAAAAAACAAGCTATTGAAAGATAATATGCAGTGTAATACCACTTATGATTAAAAAGCAATTACATAATTGTGTATGTACAAATAGAAGTCTATTTTAACACAGAAATATGACTGGGCATCATAGCAGACAGATCTGGGGCTGGGAAAGCGGGTCGAAAGGGAGAGGAGAATAGCTGCTTGTAAGGGAACTTTATCTCCATTTGCTTTTGAATGAAAATATAATTTAGCAAAATAAATAAGGATTAATTTGAGTCATTTGTAGGCCAAAAGATACACCTTGAGACTATAACATTAAAGTGAAATTAGTGAGACACACAAACTTAAATATCATGTATTTTGTCTTATATGAGAAACCCAAAGTATAAATAAACAGCAAAATAAAAGACAACAGGAAAATGGGAGATAGAGCTTTTGCAAATGGGAAGGAAACCAAGAGATGGAGGTTCCCCTTGCCATCTGCAAGAGACAGAGGGAGGAGGGGGAGAGGAGGGGTGGAGGAGGGGGAGAGGTGAGATGGAGGGGGAGAGGGAAGAGGAAGGGAAAGAAGAAATTATTAAGATGTGTTACATACAACACTGCATGATGAATGCAATCATGTTTTGCAAGCATATACTGATAAAAAAAAATTTCAAGAAAGTATAATTTAGCAAAATAACAAAGAATACAAAGCAGAAAAGCTTCAGGGTGATTCTATGGGTGAGCCAGGGTCAGAGCCCAGAAAGAGCACATTCCACAGAGCAGAGGGAGATCCACCTGCTGGGGTCATCCAGAGAGGCCAGCCAGGGAAAGTCAAAGCCTGAGCACAGTACCACCTGCCTCAGTGGCCCTCTTTGATCTTCCCTCTTCTCTTCATGAAAACAATAGGGCAACACTTGTCTACTAATGCTACTTTAAGATCTATAATTTTAATTATTTGGTTTGCAAGCCTCCATAACAGTAGTTTTGGCTTTGGGGACTGGGAGGAGATTTGGCTGACTTTTTCCCCCACTAAATTGAAAAAAACAATGCCTGAGGCATAAGGTCTACACAACTTTGCACTTCTGACCCAAGTCTTCAAACCCAGCAGCCCTTTAGAAACCACAACTACAATGTTATTGAATCAAGTCTTTAATGGGAAAGTCCCCCTTATCCTCTCTTTTCACCTCCTCACAAAGAAGCTTCCTGTAGACGATCAAAATTACCTGATTATGGAAAAAACATAATCATGGTTAAAGCAGAGATTTGGGGCCTTGAGTGGGGAGGGGGTATTATTCTTCCTATTTCAATGGAGTTGCTAAGTGCACTATCAGTTCAATTTCATTACTGTAATTCCTCCCAGTACTAGATACTTCATTACAACCTACTGGCTTTTTACTTGCATGAAGGTGGCCAACATTGCTAAGATTTTGCCATTAAGAGGCCAGGTCTCAGGAAGAAAGGCAGTCTTTGTATGGACCAGGTTGGTGAGAATTAGTGGGAGTCTTGGAAGCAACCAGTCAAGCAGAACAGGGAGAATTTGCTGGCAGCAGGGCCGCCAAGCCTGTCAGAGATGGAGTGCCAGGAAAGCCGGCTTGTGGCCCCTCTGAGGCCTCACTGGCTCCCACGCTCCACCAACTTCCAGTTTGGGCTGTAGTCAAGGCCCTCAGGAGAAACAGCTTCTCTCCTCCTTGTAAAGTTACCTTCAAAGGCACAGCTCCTGCCCAGAGCGATGATGAAAATGTGCAGAGGAGTTCCAGCTCAGACTCTAGGGATCACTCAGAGACCAGTTACTGGCTCAGTCCAGAATCCAAGACCTACCACTTTCCTAAGATTTTTCCAAGAGCGGCACAAATATTCAGAGGTACAACTTGACAACTGCACTCATTTTAGCCAGTTTTTTGGATGTGTTATCACAACCTTAAACATGGACCCAGAAACAGAAGCCCCACTGGTCCCCATGCGGATCCACCAAACCACCTCCACTTTCCTCCCCAACTTCCTCCCCTGTCACACAACAGCCAAGTACCTTTTAGATCGCATGTGCATCTCCTTCTCTGAAATACACCTCTCTTTGGGTTTGAACAAGTTATCTGGAAAAAAATAGAAAGAGAATTAATTTTAGAAGGTACAGAACTCTACACTTCTGAGACAAAGAAATACAAATGGCAAATAAGTACATGAAACAATGGTCAGCATCATTGGTCATCTGAGAAATGCAAATTAAAACAACACTGAGACTCCACCTCATCCCAGAAAGAATGGCTGTCATCAAGAAACCAACCACTAACAAATGCTGGTGGGACTGTGGGGAAAAAGGGACCCTTCATTGTTGGTGGGAGGGTAGACTGTTACAACACTGGTGGAAATCAATATGGAAATTCCTCAAGAAACTAGGTTTAGAGGTTCCATTTGGTCCAACTATTCCCCTTCTGGGTATTTTCCAAGAAGAATGAAAAACATGACACTGTAGCGATATATGTGCACCATGTTTATAGCAGCACAATTTGTCATAGCTAAATTGTGGAAACAATCCAAATGCCCACCAACCGAGGATAAAAAAGATATGGTATTTTTATACGATGAAGTATTACTCAGCTATAAAGATAAACTTGAGGCTTTTATAGGTAAACGGATGCAACTAGAGACCATATTCATAAGTGAAATAAATCAGACTAGCATGTGTAAACATCGTATTGTTTCCCTAGTATAAGAAAGTGAAACAAGAGTAAGATCCAAAAGGTACAACAGACATTGTGAAATGGAAAGAAACTGCTCAAAAAGGAAAGAATAACTGAGATGGTGGAAAAGAGAAAAGAAGTAAAGAAGATATATAACATATATATATATACACACACACACAAGATAGCTAAAATAATTGTACTACTAATTTCTATTAGTTCATTGAAAGGAAAATTAGCGTTTATATTGTTTGATCAATCTTACATGCCTGTATGTGTAATCTGAGCGATGACTTTCAAGATAACAAAATGCAATACAACAATCATTGTTAATTTCCTATCATCTTGTTTTGAAGTTTTGTGTCATTTTTGTTTTTTTATTATGGGTCTTTAAAATAAAACAAGAAGATACAGAACCCACGTCTTGATGGACTTATTGTAGTAGATCTAGTATATTCTCTGTGATTGGTTTATTATTGTAAATCACAGCCTGTGACAAACACTATAGAACTTAGACATCTTAAATGGTTGGATTGATAACTGGTTAACCAATGGCATTGGTGTTGACAACAGCTAAATACAGGCATAAAACAGAGTACTTATATCTGACCTACTTCATGGAAGGGTACTGCTGAATCCTTCCTTTAGCAACAGAGTCATGGTATTCTGGTGAAATTCCACGTTCTAAAGCCGTCTCATGCACAGAAAAATCTCCACACTTGGATTTCAAGGCCTCTAAGGACAAGTAAATCTCCCAGATATCCCTACAGCATTCTGAGAGCAGGAGGTTTCACTTTCTCCCAATCATCCCCCATTAAGCTGCTCAGCCTATGCAAGATGAAGACACTTTATGCCCTTTCCGTGTCAGAAGAGGTCATAGCAACAACATCACACTCATCTACGTTTGGTGTCCTTTGATTCAGAAAGTACGCCATGGCAAAAACACTGTGAGACTGGAAGCTTTTCCAATTTAAATACATACTACCAGTCATCATGATGCTTACATATGGCATACTTAAAATTAGTACGGGCTAAAAAATAGCATATATCTGTTACCCTTTTTACAATAGTGGAAATGGGGCCTTTTTCAACAACTCTGGAATTTCCTGGGAATGTCAGCCTATAGATTAGCCAAATATATGATACACATAAGTGCTTCGAGGTGTGTGTTGCATGGACATATATCTGAGTAGCTTCTATGCTTCCTGAATACTGGACTGGCCAGTGACCAGCTTACTGCCTTCATTCAACACAAGCAGTCAGACAACTCAGCATCATTGCTAAACATGAGAGTTGAAGCAGGCACTCTGTGATTCCCAATGAAGACCTGCATGTTTGTACTTATCTGTCCCCCACCCTCAGGCCAGAACCCTTGCACATCCGAGCAGTGGAGCACTGAAAGATTTCTTAGGCTTGAGAATATGAAGAATTTCCCAGGAATATGCACGATGCTGGGATAAGGGACAAGGCTACTAAGAAATGTTTCCTCCCCTGGAGAAATAGAATGCAGCTATTGATTTACAATACAGAAAACGCTGCCACAGCCAAGCTTGCATTCTGTCTAGTTATTCAAACACCAATTAGATAACAGTATGACACCATTACTTAACTTCAAAGACAAGACTCACACAAGAAACAAGAAAAAAGAAAAATCGGAGTATTACCATTTAATGGAAAATGCTGCCAGTGTTTAGAAAGGTGAGAGGCTGTGAGAGCAAGGAGAACATGACACACCAGCAAGACCAAGATGGGCCGAGATGCCTTCCAGTCCTGCACCCTGGTCTCTGCTCCAGATGGAGGGAATAAGCAAAATCCCAGAGAAGAGTGTCATCTAAAGTGAGTCAACATCTTGGGTAAACAAATATGTGACTGCTTCAAGACTCTTACTCAGACAGGGAGAAGAAATATATAAAGACAGATCAGGGCCGGCATTCCTCTGGAGACACTCAAAATTAGGGTGAGCCTGAGGTAGACAGATTATGCCCTAAGAAGATAAATACATGACAAATTGCATTCATACAACTTTCCTAATCTCAATGCAGTTGTACGTGGTATATTCTTGAAATGACACTTTTTTTTCAGTTTGTCTTTCTTAAGAGCACCTGATCCCACAATTAAGCTTTGGTTTTATTTCCAAGAGGAAACGAAAAATATGAGCCATCTGATACCTCCACTCTTCTGCTTTCTGAACTCTTTTCTGCCTGCTGCGCTGCAGCAGAAGGTTAAATTCCGGCCCCAGCAGCCCATGTTCAGTGCAAAACAAGCTGCTTGTATCCATGAAGGCTCCCTGGGTGCTAGGCTCAATCCCAACCCCCTGAGGAAGTGCTTGCATGTTGGTTGCTATTGATTTTGAGTTTTCTGAACACTACCAAGCCCCTTTGATAAACAGAAAGGGCCTTCCTAGTGGGGAGGGGCAGGGGGTGGGTAAAAAGGGGACGTATCCCTCAGCAAGTGTAATGTGAGTAGCTCTGACCTCATTAGAGTATAAAGAACACAGCAGCATGGAGCAGCTTTTCTCACTTTAGGAGGGAAAGTGGCTAGGGAGAGAGAGGGAGCTGTGTTCTACACCTGACTGGTCAGGGTGATGGTTTGTAATGATAATGCCAGGATTTATGGATGTCTTCCTAAATTCGTCTTCATACCAATCCTGTGATATGCTCATGATATTTTGCAGCTCAGGACTGAAGTTACTGACCTCCAAAAAAGAGTGAGGGTTACCTGCTCAGGTTCACACTGTGCATGAGTGAATGTCAGAGCAGGGCTTCAGTCCATATCAGCCCAGCCATGCCCACACATGCTCTTACCTCAGGACACTGCTGCCAACTCATAGCTGCAGAATTGGTATTTTGGGAGCCCTGAGCAGGTGCTCTTTCATTTCTCATAAAATAATCCAAATTTCATTTCTCTTACAGTCCTTCCTACTTTCTTTAATTTAGTAAGCAGTTACTATCTCTCCAGAGGATGCTGATATAACAGATGATATTCTGCCATCATGACATTTCATTTGTTGAGGCAGGCTGCAAAATATTGGCAGGTGCTCTAATAAAATGAAGCACTGTCATATGGTAAAGGGGGACGAGAGTGGTTAAGAGGTCTCCTTTAGCACACACATAATCACTGAAGCAGCCACAGGAAGACTTGGGAGAAGGGAACAGTGAGATCTTGCTGTAGGAATGCAGCTGTAGTGTGAGTAAGAATGCAACGGTGAGAGCAGAGACTAGCATGGTTTTCCACCCAGGTTACACTTTCCAGCCACCTGGGGATTTTGACAAAAATTCCTGTGCATATGCACTGGAATCCAACCTGAAATCTCCAGGTAATTCTAATATGCACCAGAATTTGGAGTAGCCACTGTTGGACTTTGCAAATCTATTTAAGGAGATATACATGTCTGTGAATGGAGTTTGCCATCACAGTAAGAGAGATGGAGAGTCATGTGAAGGCTTAAACATAAGGTCTGACTTTTATTGGTTATAGATGACTGCAGTGCTTCTCTAGAACATGAACTGGGTGGAACAGAGGCAAAAAGTGGCAGCAGGCAGATGTTTCTGGCAATCACAGTCCCATGGGTGAAAGATGGCAATGCTTGGATGCAAGATAGCCACAAAACTCATTTACACTGGACAGGTGAACAGCGAGTTGTGGGGCCAGGAAAAACAAATCAAGATGACTCCCAGGCTTTGGGTTAAGCAACCCATTCATCTGACAATTGCTAAGTTTTTATCTCCTTGGTGCTAGGCAGTAGGGACACAAAGATAAGTAAGACTAAGAGCTCACAGCTCAGGATGAAAGCCAGATAAATAGGATCATTAAGTGTCAGGACCAGTATCTGCCTGAGAAGAGGAGAAGCTTCATGGAGGAGGGTCTTGTCCACCAGGGGAGAGAAGGATCTGGGACGACTCCATGGTGGAACCAGAAAGAGGTGCTCTCAACAGTCAGTGGTGGTAGGAGTGGGAGGGGTCATGTGGATCTGCTAGAAGCTAGAGCGGGCTCCTCAAGGACACGTGCAGCAGGATCCATGGAGGCCTCATTTCATGGCATGGAAAACCATCCTGTATGCACTTTGTTAAAAAAAAATACAGTGAAATCCCATCTATCAGTTCCATTTTAATTGAAATTCTACTTTTATAAAATTAAAGTGACTGGTGAGAATAATTTTCAGACTACTTATAGGTATTTTATGGATTTTCCTGGAAGCTTTGGGTATTCTAATTCACCAATATGGAGGAAAGAGACTGCAATTGTATTTACCTCCCATTATCATTCAAATAGAGGAACTTTTTTTCCCCAATAAGATTACTAAGTTGTCTATGTCTGTTATTTCTGGAAACTATTTTTTTTCTACTGAGTATCTTCCTATCTGGATCATTACTAGATACAAACTATAGGACCTATTGCTACTTTAAGTTGGC